GCCTTTGTAAAGTACGGCCCAAGAGAGGAACCATCCTCCTAAAATGGCCCAATAGAGGAACTATCCTCTAGAATACCCCAGCCCTACCATGAAATTAGTGGCAACTACGCGTACTAGGGAACTATGAAGGATATAGATATATTTTTGAATTTCTAGATAATGTGAACTAATATCAAACATAAATTTATTTTAGTGAAAAGTTGGTATGGGATACTGAATGGATTTAGATATATATATATATATATATATATATATATATATATATATATATATATATATAATTATACTCCGTGTTACACCGATTATTTAGGGAAAATTGTATTTTTCAAGCTTTTGATTATCAACTATTTATATATCTTATGTTTTTATAGCATCATCATTTAATTGCTATTTCCGTCCTAATATTAGAACAAGAGATGTGGTGAGATTTAAAAAACAAAATTATGCAAAGTGGTATTCATTCATAAATTCTCAATTAATAGTGAGAAAATTTAGACATCTAATTTTTACAAAATATAGTATGGTAAAAATGTAATCGGACACAAAGTAAGGTGGGGCGATGAGTATTAAATTCACAATTTCCGTTCTCCTCTCGGGCTTTTTTGCTTTTCTTGGCTGCAATAACACGTATCAATCTTTTGTTGTACTTTTAGATTTTGCCATTTGTTTTTCCATTTATTTTTTATCCCATTATGTTTTTTTATGTTAGAAGTGGTGGAATTACGTATGCATACTATTGCACTATTAATAAATAATAAATAATTGATATGGTGGTAATCCTATGGTAATTGTGCATTTCGTGATATTACACTTAGTATGATTTTGTATAGATGAATTTATCCATGTCCCTGAATAAATCACCCACGGTATGGGGTGTGTAATGATAGCTATCATTGCCATCCACAATATTATTGCATTGGGATGTGAATTTAAGATGGATGTATGCTACGTATGTGTTATCTATAATCTCATCTAATAAATAAAATATTATAATAGTGAATGAGGGTTATACCCTTTTGGGTATAAAATTTTTGTTTGTAATCTCACAGCTAAACAAAGTTATACATGACGTTAAAGACATTGTACCGTTCTATTTCATCAGTTGTCTGTCCCTGTGCTTTCCGTTAACCAAAGCTCATCAACTTCTTACACCGTCCAAATATTCTTGTTGTTCTGTTAATCTTAGTCTCCGAACAACACCCTGAGGTCAGAACAGCAGAAGTCGCCGTCAAATAATCACGGAATACTCCAGGAGGCTGGAACAACATAATCGTCGAACAATACTCCGCCCTATGGTCTCTATACGATGCCTGGTGCGTTACTGCTCTCTCTTCCACACAATGTTTTACTTAGGGTTATTTTGTTGTTGTCAAATCTGATTAAATATAATGTATCTGAGAAGATGTCTTGAGGGCAAAGTGATGTATTTTGTTCATATTACTGTGCTCAAGTTTAAATTGTGAAACTTTGGATGGTGGGGTTTATGGTGAATGAAGATTACGTCCTCATTGTGTCTTAATATTAGTTCTAAAAGTTTAGGTAGAATTTTTTCGGGAACAGTTCATATATGGATTATTAGATAGATTTAATACAATTTTGTGTGACTTCAAATTGGACTCCGGAAAATGAAAAATGACTCCTTCAACAATTTATTCTGTTGTGAGTGCTTGAGGGAAAGCATTTTCGTAGTCCTATAGCAGGAGGGGCAAGTTGTCAGATTAATTTCTCATCCATCCCAATGTATTTTAATTTGGTTAAAAAAGTGTGTACATTGGAATGCTATTCGTATTTTCATGTTATCATTATTGACTTAGGAGTTAGGATGAGAGCATTTTCTGCCTTTATGATTTTAATATGATACGTTAAAATTATACATGTTTTATGCATTAGTTTTAGCTAACAATAATAAGATTTTTAGTGCTACGTATATGAAATTATAATGACATGTATTTTGAGTTTGCTTCAGTCTTAAATCACTCTCCTACTTTGAATGCATTATGCACCTTTTACCCAGTCATAGGGATGGACTCGGGCCGGGCCAACCGGCCCGGAACCGGACCGGCCCGGTCAACCGGTTCGGTTCCGGTTCGGGCCTCCAGGCCCGGTGGTATACCGGTCCGGGCCCGGGCCTCCAGTTTAGTGAACCGGCCCGGCCGGGCCGGGCCCGGTTCGGGCCGGAATTTAATTTTTTTTTTTTTTTTTTTTTTGAAATTTTTTTAAGTTTTGGGTTGGATTAGGTATTTTGGGCCATTTGAGGTGGTTTGAGGTGGTTTGGGGTGGTTTGGGGTGGAGGGGGAGGGGTAGGGGGTTAAATAAGAGAAGAAGAAGAAAAAAAAAACATTCCGGGTGGCCCGGCCCGGCCCGGCCCGGTTCTGGCCCGGAACCGGAACCGGAACCGCCCACCACCGGTTCGGGCTCGGGCCTCCTTTTTCTGAACCGAGGCCCGGCCGGGCCCAGGCCCGAACCGGGCCCGAACCGGAACCGGTCCACCCCTGCCCAGTCACTTGTCCAGGCCGAGTCTATGTGACTTTTGAGAAGATAGAGTCGCTCACTTATCTCCTTTAGGCATAAAAACTTAACATGAATCCGGCTTACGAAACTTGCAATGCACTACTACATTTGCCCACAAAAACTAAATTTTCCCTTTTGAACAAGAACAAAAAACATGTAGTTCTTGCTTTTCTCCTATCTGTTTCCTTCCCATCCATAGAGGATGAGACACTTTCTTTGATTTACTTACTAAGATATCATATAAAAATAAAGACATCGTTGTTATGTCTGGCTGATATATTTGCTACATGGGCAAATAACTAGATTTCTTCGGTAGTAAAACAACCACTGTTTTTACATTTTTTATATTTAGCAATAGGCGTTGACTTATATTCAGATCAAAGAAAGGGGACTAAATTGATATTATTAGTTTTATATGTATATAATTCATGATGCATTGTGAATACTGCATTTATTAGAGATAAGAATCTTAAGTATCATATCAAACATTAAAAGAAGCAAAATAAGGGGACAAGTATTGTCACAATTAGAAACCATTGGGCAATGGTGGCTTCCGCAGCTGCATTATGAAGGCAGTTTGTTGCAGGGTTTTGTGGTCATAGATGCCTTTGAGGCGCAAGGGAAAATTTAACACTCCATTTGCAAATGTAAATGGATGAGCTCAAATGTTCTCATATAAAACATCTAATTTTTATGCAAAATATGAGCAAATGGATGGTTTAGTTATAACATTTATGGGTCATGTAAATTGGGGTCCTGTAGTTTACCCCCTGTATATATTGTTGAGTGATATGTTGTTAGGTACTAACAACTCCATTATAGGTTTCCCTGTCATTAAGAGCAATTCAATTTTCTCAGCATATTATACGTGTTTATTTGTGTTGTACATAATCTGTTCACGGTTGGTATTAGTCTGCCTGCACATTACCAGTAACTCTAAATGACATTCTTTTAAAAAGTAAAAGGGCCTCAAATATTCATACAATTAACAATTCATCAGGACCTTTTCTCTTAAGAAAGGTAGCCTAGAATGATACATTAACTGGATGCTTCATTTTTTAGATTAATAGTACAATAATATCTCGCAATCAGAACTTCAATTTCTTTTGAAAAATTGCCTCGGTATAATATTAGTGGAAATTAATATGAGTGTTGTTTACCGATTATTGGTAGCATTATACTTAGTATCAAATCAGTTTCCCTTTTCGATGTGAAATTTATACTAACATGGTTTAGTATCCGGTTCCTACTGGGAATTTACATCCGTGGTCTGTCTCTCATTGCAAAAGCTGGATTGGCTATTGGCTCTGTGAGTTATGTAACCAAAAAATGCAGGTTGTTTTACCTGAAAGAATGCACGTGGTTCATATTTCAGGTTGAATTAGGCATGGCCTCGGTTCGGGCCGCCCGGCCCGGGACCGGCCCGACCCGCTACTGTTCGGGCCCTGCCCGGCCCGGTTATCCGGGTCCGGTTCGGGCCGGAGGCCCGGGGGTGGGGCGGTTCCGGGCTCGGTTCATGGTTTTGACGGCCCGGCCCGGCCGGTTCGGGCCCGGGTCCGGGCCAAATCTATTTTTTTTTTAATTTTTTTCATTTGTTTTGGGCTTTTGGGCTTGGGCTATCTGTTTAGGCCGGTTTGGGGGGATTTGGGGGGGTGGGGGGTGGGGGGGGTGGGGGAAGAAAGGAAAAAAAAAAAAAAATTAAGCCGGGTGGCCCAACCAGCCCGGCCCGGCCCGGAACCGGACCCGGAACCGGTGGCCACCGGTTCGGGCTCGGGCCCAACAAAACAGACCCGAGGCCCGGCCGGGCCTAGGCCCGAACCGGGCCCGAACCGGCCCGGGTCCATCCATAGGTTGAATGCTCTGGCATGGCACAGGAGCCAGTGAAGTTAAATGGTCCAGTTTCGAGTGATTTGAGTAATAAAATTTGATTGTTCTAAGTTTCCCTGAATAACGTATGGGGCTGGGATTTTTTAAATCATATTTCACATCACAAAAAAATCTTATCCTCAGTTTTATTTTTTGTCCCAAAAGAGAAACCCATTTGATAAAATAGAGCTCATTTGGCATTTAAATTTCCTAAAAAAGTTACAAACAAGTTGAATATAAGTTCAATATTAGTACATGGTATGTTATTGAGGATTTGAGGAGCTGAATTTTCTGTTCCTTTAGGTGACAGTGTGACACATGTATATAAACTCTAGAAGCCGAAACCAGGGACAAATTACATGGTATGTTAGGGGTGGGCGCGGTCTGGTCTGGTCCAATATTTGGCCAAACCCGTACCCGGACCGTTACTATTGAAACGGTTTGGTTCGGTTCGGTCTTAGACCTAAACCCGTTCGGTACGGTTCCATTTTCAACCGGGACGGTACCATGCCATACCAATACCAAACAATGCCATTTTTTCGACACAATTATCAATTTTCATATTACATAGTTAATAAATTCCATATAAACTTTAATAGTACAAAACATAAATAACAAAAAGCATCGAGTTCATTAACTTCTCCAGACACTACTAGCAGATGATATCCAAAAAGCATCGAGTTCATTTGCAACTTCATTTAACATCTGGTCTACAAGAGGTTCTTCATTACCTTCATACACATTGGGTCTCCGGGAAATACATGCACCACAATATTTTAAAAAAGAGCACATAATATAATCTACAGGTATTAACTATTTAACAAGTCAAATACCTTCATACTTATTGCATGGCAAAAGATCTTCAATTTGCTACTCCATTAAACTATAGTAGTACAAAAAGTAAAACACAGAACATCAGTTTCAAATTTCCTCTTCATCTTCATGAATACTTGAGCTTCCAGGTCTTGCATTTGCCAACTCTGTATTTAACAACCAAATTAAATAGTGCAAAACACAATAAACTATTACAAAATAAGATGCTAATAATCAATTTGCTAAATTAGAAGGAAAGAAGTACCTGTCTCAATGGCTTCATAAAACTCCAGTTCTTTTGTTCATGGTTCATCTTCAAAATGAGTAATAATATTATCTCCTTTGAGCCAATTCTGCATACAAATTAAAGCTTCTACGGAAGATGGGGTTAATGAACTTCTAAAATCATCAATTACTCGTCCACCTGTGCTAAAAGCACCCTCAGAGGCAACTGTTGAAACTAGTATAGCAAATACATCTCTAGCAATTGATGCTAAAACAGGATAATTGGGTGAAGCACATTTCCACCATTGCAAGACATCAAACGTCCAGTATTCCTCTTCAGCAACCTCTTCATTGAAAGAAGTATCATCTTCCTCGGTTTCTTGAGGCGGTTTTGCTCCAATAGGTTCCAAAGAATCATTGAGGTATTGATCTATCTCATGTGTAACAACTGTGCATCGGTTTGTTTGATGTGTTTAGTCCAATCAACCACAAATGCATTTTTACTTGAGCTGCCACGCATAGATGTTGTCTTCTGCCTCTTCATATTGCCTGTTTCATTACCATCTCCATTTCTCTTCTTCACAAGCTTACCATAGATCTGGCAACTTTTTTTATGCCACATAGCCCCCTCTTGATGTCCTCAGGAGTGGACCACCACGTTTATGAAGTGCACTGTATACACGAAAATAAGACCTACTTAACTCCTTCCACACTTTATATATATGGTAGATTTCTATATGGAAAACTTAGTGAACTCAAATTAGGGAGCAAGGGACACTTTACCTAATAGCAGATATACACATATTAGAATGTTTTTCAGCTTCTAATTTCATCAAGTCATGGAATTAATGGGGTGGAAAACTCATACTCAATCTATTCACTTCTGAAAGTCTACAACCTATAAGGAGTCAAAATTTTGTTCATTGACCTACCTTTGGTAATGAATGAAAACTGTTGCTTGGGAAAAAAAAACCTAGAAAGCATACACATTGTTTCAGAATGTTTTTTCAAGAAAAAAAGCCATTCTACATACGGAAAAAAACCTAGAAAAGCATACACCTATTTCAAAAATCATTAAAGCAAAACGGAAAACCAGCTGTTTACAGTTTATATAGTTCAATTGGGTGTTTATTATGCTTACCCAATTATAGTCCTCAAGACAGCACTCTTCTTCGCAAACAAACACCCATTCCGCAACCTTATCCAATATTCTTTTCTTTTCAGGGCCTCTTTTTTACATCACATAGTGTGATGTCAGGGGACTGACATAAATGCAGCTTGACTTGTTTTACCAATTAGTAAGAAATTTGGCTCAGAATATATAGAATACTCACAGATCCAGTGTGGAATGATATTCAAACAATACCCTCACGGTCATCGTAAACCTCGACAAACAAAGTGCTATATTGTAACATCTAACAAAGAAATGTAAATACCTGATTTATGCCTCAGTCTTGAATGTTGGCAACTTTTTTTATGCCACATAGCCCCCTCTTGATGTCCTCAGGAGTGGACCACCACGTTTATGAAGTGCACTGTATACACGAAAATAAGACCTACTTAACTCCTTCCACACTTTATATATATGGTAGATTTCTATATGGAAAACTTAGTGAACTCAAATTAGGGAGCAAGGGACACTTTACCTAATAGCAGATATACACATATCAGAATGTTTTGCAGCTTCTAATTTCATTTTGGAGTCGAATGACAGCCAACCATTTTAGTTCATAGGCCGAATGGCCCACATCTCTAACAACCTAACAACATCATGACCCCAAAACAAAAATAAAGAATTATGGGAAACTCAACACTTCTCTTACTTTTAAAATAAGTAAGACTTTTTCAAAAAAGTTTATTTTGTATATTTTTTATAGAAATATATTAAACCTTTGAAAGAACAAAAAACTTTTTTTCATTCAAATTATTTATACCAAATTAACCCAAGAATTAGATGTGAGATGTAATAGCAAATTAATTTAAGAATTTGAAACTAAAATACCTCAAATATCAGATTCAAAATAGTGATGTCAAATTAACAACATGATTCTGGAAAAATTGATTTTTTTTACCAATGAAACCTCAATGTATTAATACTTTGGTAGTTTATTTTTTTTGACCATGAAAAGTTTATGTAAAAATGATCACACGATGGTTAACTAAATACAAATTGATAAATTCTCACAGTTTTCTAATTACCAATAAAAGTTAGTTAAACATCCATCATTATAGTTGGAGTCCACAATCTTTCTATATACAAACTGCTGTGGAAAAGCAGCATGAATTCCCGCCCAAATGTAGCGGGTCAAATAGCTGAGTTCGTGTCAAAAAGGGTCCATCAACTAGGGTCAAGTATTGAGTGGAATAATGCATTAATTGTGGTCAACAGTTTTATTCACTTTAATAGCCTGCAAGGTGATGGCAACGGATGCATTAATTGTTGTAGCGATGTGTCTTTTCAAAACTTTGTTGTAGCAATGTGTCTTTTATTACAACCTCTGATTTAACAATTGTAGTTTCGATAGAGTAGTTTTGCTCTACAACTATGATTGAAATGTAATGAAAAAAAGTGGTCCTAAGACATGTATCCCTAATTGTGTTAATCAAAACATTGTTTTTTCACAAACAATATCACAACAATGATATTCTCAAAACCTACCAAAGAGGCAAAAAGCAAACAAAGAATAGTGAGTTTATATGTAAGGACTATTTAGAAGAATGAGTCTAAAGTGATGTGATGAACTAATCAAGCATATATCGTAACATTTCTATGTACGAGCAATAATGGCCTGATTGGCTTCTTCCACAGCAGACTCCCTTTTGTGTGCATGGGAGATGTGAAAGACAATGTCAAATTTTGTTTGAAATTATTTAGACTACGAAAAAGTACAATTAATGTGATAGCTACAATTGTGTCGTTTATGAACATGCTTAAAACCTGGTTCCATAATGTTTATCATACGATATGAACATACATGCGGTTTAGACATTTAATCTCCTTCCTTTTTTTTGTTTATGGGACAAATCAGAATCTGAAAACTGAAGATGAAAATCATACTAATGATGCATTTGTATTGATTGTACATTGATATGGAAAAGAAAAAAAAAAATGGGTGCTTTCCGGCCCTTCCGGGTCATGTTTATAGCATCGCTTACAGTTTTTCACAATATAATATGACTGTATAGGAGAAATATAATGATTTCTCTAAAAAAAAAAACTCTTTCCATTCATTAAGAAGATAGAAATAAATCAGAAAAAAAAAAGAATACATGTGAGAATGAGTATAAAACTGTCAGTTATAAGATCCCTGCCTACCTACTACTAGACCCTGCTGAGAAGCTACGCCTAGGCATCTGGTCTTCATCATCCACCTACAGTTTTTTTAGGGCTCCTCAAAACATTGCATTATCTCACTGTTTAAAAACTCTTTTCATATGCAGAGTTCATTCCATTTCCCAGAATTACTTCAACTTTAATGGGAATCTGTAGAGACGGTGAATCTGTGTCTTCGATTAACCCTGAATTAAACTTCACTCTGATATTCTTGTTTGCAAATCTTAACGGCTACATATCAATTGAGGTTGTTAACCAAGTTGTTTTACATACTTCATGCATTGAATTCTGTATGCTGAGCTAGGATTTTGATATGTTAGGACCAAAGGACATTCTAATCACAGTAAGAACTCCTAGGAGGTAATCTGGGGTGGAATGACCTGGTTTTGTAAATCAATACACTTCCCAAGCCAGCAGATGTGATAGATGTCACACAACCAAACGGTTAATCTGAGTAGCTACACTATTATATTGAATAACCAGGTACCTCTATTTCATTTCATTTGATTTTGGGGCTGTGAGAAAAACTTCTTTGCATTTTGTGCCACATCTGCCTCTATTTGATTTATTGTGAACAGTTTGATATATATATATATATATATATATATATAGAGAGAGAGAGAGAGAGAGAGAGAAAACTTCATGTCAGGCCGGCCTGACGGGCTGCCCCGTCCGGCCGAGCCCGTTTGGCCACCTTCCCAGTGGAATTTTTTGATGAAATTTTTTGAGCATGTTCCTCATCAAATCTAGTTTGTCCATACCAAATTTCAGCTCAAAATTCAATCGGGAAGGTCGTCAAATGATTTTGGAAAGTTAACTGGTCCGGAATATGTATAAAAAAAGTGCTTAACTGGTCGTCAAATGATTTTGGAAAGTTAACTGGTCGCCAAACAGTGTTTAAACAGTGCCAAACAGTGTTTAAACAGTGCAAAACAGTGCAAAACTACAGTAAAGTCAAATTTATTTTCTAAAAGTGTGTGAAAGTCAAACCGGGAGGTTGTTTTCGGGACGGAGGGAGTATAAAAAAAGATAAGATAAAAATATAAAAAAAGATAAAAATAGAAAATAATAGCAGCAACAGGATAAAAATATAAAAAAGATAAAAATAGAAAATAATAGCAGCAACAACAGCATTACCCCAGTGACGCAAAGGCTCCCACCTACGGAGGGGTAAGGGGGTCAGATGTACACAGCCTAACCCCTGTGCTAAAGCAGGGGGAGACTGTTTCGAGATGACCCATGGTAAAAATAGAAAAAACCCAGCCTCTAGAACTAGTCCATATAAATAAGCAAACAAAACTAACTATGTCACTGAAAAAGTCAATTTAACAAAAGTACACCCGATTAATTTCATTGAGGTACAACTACTTGAAATAGCAAAATTCAGCTATGTTTTTAAAAATTATTTATTGCTTTATATAGATTTAACATTCTTAACTTGTTTGGGGATATAATAAAAGAATACATTCATTATAATAAAAAGGCTAAAGGGTCAAATAGGTACATGAACTGACTTAATGTGTTCAATTAGCCCCTTATATATGAGTTTCTGCCCGGACGTCGCCAATTGGGGCGGTTCCCGGTGGAATTCTTTGATGATTTTTTTTTAAAATCTTCTTCATTAAGTCTAGTTTACCCATGCCAAATTTCAGCTAAAAATTCAACCGGGAAGGCAGTCTAATGATTTTCCGAAATGTACTGCGCTGTTTAATTTTTTGGAAAATCATTCGACTGCCTTCCCGGTTGAATTTTTAGCCGAAATTTGGTATGGGTAAACTAGACTTAATGTAGAAGATGCTCAAAAAAATTCATCAAAAAATTCCACCGGGAACCGCCCCAATTGGCGACGTCCAGGCAGAAACTCCTATATAAGGGGTTAATTGAACGCTTTGGGTTAGTTCATGTACCTATTTGACCCTTTAGCCTAATAAAAATCAGCTTCTTTTGTGACAGCAAGATAAGTTTTCAAACAAACTAATATTTTTGGACAGAGAGGGCAGGAAAAAAGATGATATATACCTGTATGATCAGGCAATAGACCTGCACTTTTAGCAGAGCTTCGCAGTTTTCATACTTGGGTTTTGATAATGTGATTTCAGCAAGTTTTGCATATGCTGTTGCTTGACTGTTCATATCAGAAGAGGTTGAGGGCTTAAAGTTACAATCCTGCAAGTACAGCTACATCAATCCTTTAATTGGAAAATGATATGAAAAATTGGTACTCCAAGTGAATATATAGAGATGGCAAGTACCTTGGGTGTATTACTGATAGTTGTGCCCTTACTTTCAGACTTTTCAGGTCCATTTTCCATCGATGTACCAGCACCAGCAGTGGGTGGGTGGTTTTTTATGTTATCAACTAGCCTTGTGGTTAATGGACCCGGATTCACAAAAGAAATGGTTCGGATTTCATGTCGTATGGCTTCTAATTGAGCAATTGTATCTTGTAGCTCTTTGTGGACCTTTAAGATAAATGCCATAGAAAAGATCATTGCCGCCATACACAAGTATGCCCGGTATGAGAAAAAGATACTGGAGTATACATCTATATCGAATGATGATTACTATATACTACATATAAGTTAAAAGAAGAGTAAAAACCTACAGAAATAGGTGAAGGAAGATAAAAAGAAACCTGTCAAGCTTGAGTTTGCTGCATGACACTCTCAAATTGACCACGGGCCATTTGAACATAGCCAATAGCACGGCCAGATAACCTCCCAGCAGTTCTTGCTATGACTGGAAGGTCCTTAGGTCCTGACAAATCAAAACCCTGCCTCAGCATATATAACTCAACACATGAAGGATATAATCAATCTCATACTGAGAAGCAAGTTTTGGGAATAGGAAACAGGATTATCAGAACTATAGTGAAAAACCGGGTGAATCGAAGACAGTTTACACCGCCATTACAGAGGAAGAGTACCAATTAAAGCCGCAGTAGCTCCAAGCAATAAAAACAACTCTCCGTATGAAAACCCTAGCATGTCTTTATGTCTCTAGTTTGAACAGAGAATTAATGGGAGCTGGAGTCAATAGATCTCGCCGTTCGTTGCTGAGGAAGCCGGAGTGTCTAGAACTCTAGACCTGAGAAGGAATACAATACAAAAGAAGCAATTAAACATTAGAAGGAATAATTTTATATGGGAAAAAATCACATTACAAGGAATAATATTATGTGACAAAAACAACAACCAAGCTTTATTCCCAAAAGAGAATCATTTCATGTGAAATTAATTTATATTTTTTCCAGCAAAAAATTAAAAAGAAGATTTACCCTCAACGATGCTAACTATTCAAGCATAGGCAAACAGGTAAGAATCCACAGTGCAAGCGCAGGATATTATTTTGCTTTCACATTTTAAAGCATAGAATGACTTTATACTAAGTGTAATATGAAGTTCAAAAAATTACACGAAGACGAACAAAAGCAAGTATCTAAAGTCTCCAGTTCAAAAATCGAATCTTAACCAACTTTGAGCTTCCTGTCTTTCCAATGGTATCTCCATAAACAAACAGAAATGCAATTTACAATGTGCAATTAGGTGTCTGCTCAATCTTGAGCAGCATTATTAGTATCATAAAGAAGTTTACAACCACAAGCTTGCCAAATTAATGCAAATGGTATCTTAGGAATTTGATGTGCAACTTAGAATAGGGATTTGAGGTAAATAAGTTGGGCCATGAGTCCATGACTAGTGGCTGATCTATTGCCCCTATTCTGCGTGCATGAAATCATTTTAAATTGAAATGAAGAACAATACATCTATCTTTATCTAAAAGCAAAAGAAATTCAACGCACAGTACTCCCGCCCAATTGTGTCAACGTCAGTTATTAATGTTTTAATTGGTCAAGAATTATAACAGAGGATATGCATTGTAAAGGATGGGTCCGGGCCACACTTTAAATTTTGAGGAAAGTATTCCTATTGGCTGTAGCTGACGGTGGGTATAGTAAGAACAAAAATTAATGAGGCCTCCTATTGGTCGAAGAGGTGGTGGTTACTGTTGCCAAAATTTGTGACATGATGCTTCCTTGCTTTCCATTGGTTGATGAGGGTGGTGTGAACAAGTGAGGGGATGGTACCTGCAACAAGTGGTACACAAACGTTCAAAGCGATCAAAGCTCTCATCTTCCTATGATTCAAGTCGAAGGTAAAAAAGAACCACATCCCCTCTTCCATTTAACGAAGCGATCAAAGCTCTCATCTTTGCATCCATGGAGGAAACAGAGACTCATAAAGCTATGCTCACAACAGAAAATTGGAAGAAAGAACAAATCTTCAACTCAAACAAAGTGCCACCCTTCCCCGCCCAGCATCCCTCTTTCGGTGTGGTTAAAGCAAATGAATCATCATTGAACACCAGCCCCACAAACTATATTGACACATTCTCAGAATTGGTTGAATCCCTTAATTTCAGAGCCTAGGGATTCTTCGTTTCAAACATTATTGGCATTATTATAATCAAATCAGAAGACAATGAACCAGAAATTGAACACATTTGCATCACTTCATTGTCTAGTTCCAATCCAACACAGTCCCTTCCTATTTCCTATGGGAATCCCAAAGCCAAGCCAAGTTATTAATCAAAACATACATCCAGTCCTGGGCTTCTTTTAGTATTAGATCAATGCTGAGAAAATGATAGCAGCCGAACTCTCTGCTAAAGGTACATCAAAATATATAATTCCTCTAGAAATTTCTTAAAAGAGAAACTGATTGAGAAATAAAAAACAAAGTATTTCACATTCTAAACTTCTATTTTGTATGCACAAAATAAACATATAATTTCGAATGCAATGAATGAATAATAGTAGAAACTTTGAATGAAGCCATCAGTCACCAATGATTCTCCACATAAGCTTAAAGCTAATAATACGGTCCGCATCATGGTTCGATCTAACAGATCGCATCACGTGGCTTGTCAATTTCAGCTAAAACTAAAGCAAAAAAGGCAGAATAAAATCAACAAAAGAAGAGCTCAGAGAATAGTATGGGTATGAGACAATTATCATCACTCTCTCCGAAGGAGGTCAGAGTGGTGCATGACAATCTCTGTATTTCATCATCGCTCTTCTTCGTCTAGTGAATACTCATTAATAATTACTACGTAATAATCAAACCTAATTTTAAAAAAATGAAAAATAGGGAGAAATGGATAATAAATAACGCTCAGAGATAATTTCCGCTATGATGATGAGGAATAGGTGAATGCTCAGAGAAGACTGCACATGATATATAGGAGCGGAAATTAGGTTTCACCCAAACTCTAATCTTTGTGGAAATTTGAATAGATACAGGCCCGGGTTGAACAAAGGGGCCATACAGATCCTGGTCTTCTGGCCCGGTTGGTTCATTTAAACTCAACCCGACAAGGTGTAGATGTAGAATGAGTAGCAATCCCGTTAGGTCGGCCTGAAACCGCCGTCCGGCCGAGGGCTTTTGGGGCCCTCCCCGGTGGAATACATATATATATATATATACACACACACACACACACACATATATATAGAGGAATGATCCTGTCCAGCCGGAGGGACAGGATCCTCCGTCCGGCCGCCACCGTTTGGGGCGGTTTCCGGTGGAGTTTTTTGATGAAATTTTTATGGAATGATCCTCATCAAGTCTAGTTTATCCACAAAAAATTTCAGCTAGAAATTTGATCGGGAAGGCAGTCAAATAATTTGTTGAAGATAACTGCTCCAAATTAAACATATAAAACGCATTTATGTTTCAAAAAATTATTTCACTGCCTTCCCGATCGAATTTTTAGCTGATTTTTTTGTGGATTAACTAGACTTGATCGGGAACATTCCATAAAAATTTCATCAAAAAACTCTACCGGGAACCACCCCAAACGGCAGCGGCCGGACGGAGGATCCTGTCCCTCCGACTGGACAGGATCTTTTCTGTATATATATATATATATATATATATATATACTAGTTGGCACGCGCGTTGCGCGACGGGTGGTGCCCAATGCTGGGGGAAAATGTGTTGCATTGTTAGGGAAATCAAAAATAGGGTGAAACTTAGAGGAACAAAAAACATTGTCTAAAATTTGATAGATTTGTTAGGGATATTTGAGAAAAACCATTTAAACCATTTATTCATATAATGTAAAAACAAAGAAACCCAAACATATATAAGATCTAATACAAACATATGCGAAATCAAACATAAGAAATAAACTGTCATTAGAACTTTTCCTTTCCGCTAGCATTCCCTGAAACTTTTCCTTCTTGAGTACTCTTTGAGCTAATTATGGGTATTTTATGGTACCTATAAATGTCTGGTGCATGTTTTTTATTATCTTCCTTCATGAGATTACTTCCAAGTTCCAAGTCATGGAATTAATGGGGTGGAAAACTCATACTCAATCTATTCACTTCTGAAAGTCTACAACCTATAAGGAGTCAAAATTTTGTTCATTGACCTACCTTTGGTAATGAATGAAAACTGTTGCTTGGGAAAAAAAAACCTAGAAAGCATACACATTGTTTCAGAATGTTTTTTCAAGAAAAGAAGCCATTCTACATACGGAAAAAAACCTAGAAAAGCATACACCTATTTCAAAAATCATAAAAGCAAAACGGAAAACCAGCTGTTTACAGTTTATATAGTTCAATTGGGTGTTTATTATGCTTACCCAATTATAGTTATCAAGACAGCACTCTTCTTCGCAAACAAACACCCATTCCGCAACCTTATCCAATATTCTTTTCTTTTCAGGGCCTCTTTTTTACATCACATAGTGTGATGTCAGGGGACTGACATAAATGCAGATTGACTTGTTTTACCAATTAGTAAGAAATTTGGCTCAGAATATATAGAATACTCACAGATCCAGTGTGGAATGATATTCAAACAATACCCTCACGGTCATCGTAAACCTCGACAAACAAAGTGCTATATTGTAACATCTAACAAAGAAATGTAAATACCTGATTTATGCCTCAGTCTTGAATGTTGGCAACTTTTTTTATGCCACATAGCCCCCTCTTGATGTCCTCAGGAGTGGACCACCACGTTTATGAAGTGCACTGTATACACGAAAATAAGACCTACTTAACTCCTTCCACACTTTATATATATGGTAGATTTCTATATGGAAAACTTAGTGAACTCAAATTAGGGAGCAAGGGACACTTTACCTAATAGCAGATATACACATATCAGAATGTTTTGCAGCTTCTAATTTCATTTTGGAGTCGAATGACAGCCAACCATTTTAGTTCATAGGCCGAATGGCCCACATCTCTAACAACCTAACAACATCATGACCCCAAAACAAAAATAAAGAATTATGGGAAACTCAACACTTCTCTTACTTTTAAAATAAGTAAGACTTTTTCAAAAATTAGATGTGAGATGTAATAGCAAATTAATTTAAGAATTTGAAACTAAAATACCTCAAATATCAGATTCAAACCTAAATTAGTCTAACAATCAAAATAGTGATGTCAAATTAACAACATGATTCTGGAAAAATTGATTTTTTTTACCAATGAAACCTCAATGTATTAATACTTTGGTAGTTTATTTTTTTTGACCATGAAAAGTTTATGTAAAAATGATCACACGATGGTTAACTAAATACAAATTGATAAATTCTCACAGTTTTCTAATTACCAGTAAAAGTTAGTTAAACATCCATCATTATAGTTGGAGTCCACAATCTTTCTATATACAAACTGCTGTGGAAAAGCAGCATGAATTCCCGCCCAAATGTAGCGGGTCAAATAGCTGAGTTCGTGTCAAAAAGGGTCCATCAACTAGGGTCAAGTATTGAGTGGAATAATGCATTAATTGTGGTCAACAGTTTTATTCACTTTAATAGCCTGCAAGGTGATGGCAACGGATGCATTAATTGTTGTAGCGATGTGTCTTTTCAAAACTTTGTTGTAGCAATGTGTCTTTTATTACAACCTCTGATTTAGCAATTGTAGTTTCGATAGAGTAGTTTTGCTCTACAACTATGATTGAAATGTAATGAAAAAAAGTGGTCCTAAGACATGTATCCCTAATTGTGTTAATCAAAACATTGTTTTTTCACAAACAATATCACAACAATGATATTCTCAAAACCAAGAGGCAAATAGCAAACAAAGAATAGTGAGTTTATATGTAAGGACTATTTAGAAGAATGAGTCTAAAGTGATGTGATGAACTAATCAAGCATATATCGTAACATTTCTATGTACGAGCAATAATGGCCTGATTGGCTTCTTCCACAGCAGACTCCCTTTTGTGTGCATGGGAGATGTGAAAGACAATGTCAAATTTTGTTTGAAATTATTTAGACTACGAAAAAGTACAATTAATGTGATAGCTACAATTGTGTCGTTTATGAACATGCTTAAAACCTGGTTCCATAATGTTTATCATACGATATGAATTAAACTTCACTCTGATATTCTTGTTTGCAAATCTTAACGGCTACATATCAATTGAGGTTGTTAACCAAGTTGTTTTACATACTTCATGCATTGAATTCTGTATGCTGAGCTAGGATTTTGATATGTTAGGACCAAAGGACATTCTAATCACAGTAAGAACTCCTAGGAGGTAATCTGGGGTGGAATGACCTGGTTTTGTAAATCAATACACTTCCCAAGCCAGCAGATGTGATAGATGTCACACAACCAAACGGTTAATCTGAGTAGCTACACTATTATATTGAATAACCAGGTACCTCTATTTCATTTCATTTGATTTTGGGGCTGTGAGAAAAACTTCTTTGCATTTTGTGCCACATCTGCCTCTAGAATAGCTTCTAGCACAATGTCAGATCCCTTTGCTTCAGCTAGAGCTAGAACAAAAGCAAGTATCTAAAGTCTCCAATTCAAAAATCGAATCTTAACCAACTTTGAGCTTCCTGTCTTTCCAATGGTATCTCCATAAACAAACAGAAATGCAATTTACAATGTGCAATTAGGTGTCTGCTCAATCTTGAGCAGCATTATTAGTATCATAAAGAAGTTTACAACCACAAGCTTGCCAAATTAATGCAAATGGTATCTTAGGAATTTGATGTGCAACTTAGAATAGGGATTTGAGGTAAATAAGTTGGGCCATGAGTCCATGACTAGTGGCTGATCTATTGCCCCTATTCTGCGTGCATGAAATCATTTTAAATTGAAATGAAGAACAATACATCTATCTTTATCTAAAAGCAAAAGAAATTCAACGCACAGTACTCCCGCCCAATTGTGTCAACGTCAGTTATTAATGTTTTAATTGGTCAAGAATTATAACAGAGGATATGCATTGTAAAGGATGGGTCCGGGCCACACTTTAAATTTTGAGGAAAGTATTCCTATTGGCTGTAGCTGACGGTGGGTATAGTAAGAACAAAAATTAATGAGGCCTCCTATTGGTCGAAGAGGTGGTGGTTACTGTTGCCAAAATTTGTGACATGATGCTTCCTTGCTTTCCATTGGTTGATGAGGGTGGTGTGAACAAGTGAGGGGATGGTACCTGCAACAAGTGGTACACAAACGTTCAAAGCGATCAAAGCTCTCATCTTCCTATGATTCAAGTCGAAGGTAAAAAAGAACCACATCCCCTCTTCCATTTAACGAAGCGATCAAAGCTCTCATCTTTGCATCCATGGAGGAAACAGAGACTCATAAAGCTATGCTCACAACAGAAAATTGGAAGAAAGAACAAATCTTCAACTCAAACAAAGTGCCACCCTTCCCCGCCCAGCATCCCTCTTTCGGTGTGGTTAAAGCAAATGAATCATCATTGAACACCAGCCCCACAAACTATATTGACACATTCTCAGAATTGGTTGAATCCCTTAATTTCAGAGCCTAGGGATTCTTCGTTTCAAACATTATTGGCATTATTATAATCAAATCAGAAGACAATGAACCAGAAATTGAACACATTTGCATCACTTCATTGTCTAGTTCCAATCCAACACAGTCCCTTCCTATTTCCTATGGGAATCCCAAAGCCAAGCCAAGTTATTAATCAAAACATACATCCAGTCCTGGGCTTCTTTTAGTATTAGATCAATGCTGAGAAAATGATAGCAGCCGAACTCTCTGCTAAAGGCACATCAAAATATATAATTCCTCTAGAAATTTCTTTAAAGAGAAACTGATTGAGAAATAAAAAACAAAGTATTTCACATTCTAAACTTCTATTTTGTATGCACAAAATAAACATATAATTTCGAATGCAATGAATGAATAATAGTAGAAACTTTGAATGAAGCCATCAGTCACCAATGATTCTCCACATAAGCTTAAAGCTAATAATACGGTCCGCATCATGGTTCGATCTAAGAGATCGCATCACGCGGCTTGTCAATTTCAGCTAAAACTAAAGCAAAAAAGGCAGAATAAAATCACCAAAAGAAGAGCTCAGAGAATAGTATGGGTATGAGACAATTATCATCACTCTCTCCGAAGGAGGTCAGAGTGGTGCATGACAATCTCTGTATTTCATCATCGCTCTTCTTCGTCTAGTGAATAATCATTAATAATTACTACATAATAATCAAACCTAATTTTAAAAAAATGAAAAATAGGGAGAAATGGATAATAAATAACGCTCAGAGATAATTTCCGCTATGATGATGAGGAATAGGTGAATGCTCAGAGAAGACGGCACATGATATATAGGAGCGGAAATTAGGTTTCACCCAAACTCTAATCTTTGTGGAAATTTGAATAGATACAGGCCCGGGTTGAACAAAGGGGCCATACAGATCCTGGTCTTCTGGCCCGGTTGGTTCATTTAAATTCAACCCGACAAGGTGTAGATGTAGAATGAGTAGCAATCCCGTTAGGTCGGCCTGAAACCGCAGTCCGGCCGAGGGCTTTTTGGGGCCCTCCACCGTTTGGGGCGGTTTCCGGTGGAGTTTTTTGATGAAATTTTTATGGAATGATCCTCATCAAGTCTAGTTTATCCACAAAAAATTTCAGCTAGAAATTTGATCGGGAAGGCAGTCAAATAATTTGTTGAAGATAACTGCTCCAAATTAAACATATAAAACGCATTGATGTTTAAAAAAATTATTTCACTGCCTTCCCGATCGAATTTTTAGCTGATTTTTTTGTGGATTAACTAGACTTGATCGGGAACATTCCATAAAAATTTCATCAAAAAACTCTACCGGGAACCACCCCAAACGGCAGCGGCCGGAAGGAGGATCCTGTCCCTCCGACTGGACAGGATCTTTTCTGTATATATATATATATATATATACTAGTTGGCACGCGCGTTGCGCGACGGGTGGTGCCCAATGCTGGGGGAAAATGTGTTGCATTGTTAGGGAAATCAAAAATAGGGTGAAACTTAGAGGAACAAAAAACATTGTCTAAAATTTGATAGATTTGTTAGGGATATTTGAGAAAAACCATTTAAACCATTTATTCATATAATGTAAAAACAAAGAAACCCAAACATATATAAGATCTAATACAAACATATGCGAAATCAAATTAGTAAGAAATTTGGCTCAGAATATATAGAATACTCACAGATCCAGTGTGGAATGATATTCAAACAATACCCTCACGGTCATCGTAAACCTCGACAAACAAAGTGCTATATTGTAACATCTAACAAAGAAATGTAAATACCTGATTTATGCCTCAGTCTTGAATGTTGGCAACTTTTTTTATGCCACATAGCCCCCTCTTGATGTCCTCAGGAGTGGACCACCACGTTTATGAAGTGCACTGTATACACGAAAATAAGACCTACTTAACTCCTTCCACACTTTATATATATGGTAGATTTCTATATGGAAAACTTAGTGAACTCAAATTAGGGAGCAAGGGACACTTTACCTAATAGCAGATATACACATATCAGAATGTTTTGCAGCTTCTAATTTCATTTTGGAGTCGAATGACAGCCAACCATTTTAGTTCATAGGCCAAATGGCCGACATCTCTAACAACCTAACAACATCATGACCCCAAAACAAAAATAAAGAATTATGGGAAACTCAACACTTCTCTTACTTCTAAAATAAGTAAGACTTTTTCAAAAAAGTTTATTTTGTATATTTTTTATAGAAATATATTAAACCTTTGAAAGAACAAAAAACTTTTTTTCATTCAAATTATTTATACCAAATTAACCCAAGAATTAGATGTGAGATGTAATAGCAAATTAATTTAAGAATTTGAAACTAAAATACCTCAAATATCAGATTCAAACCTAAATTAGTCTAACAATCAAAATAGTGATGTCAAATTAACAACATGATTCTGGAAAAATTGATTTTTTTACCAATGAAACCTCAATGTATTAATACTTTGGTAGTTTATTTTTTTTGACCATGAAAAGTTTATGTAAAAATGATCACACGATGGTTAACTAAATACAAATTGATAAATTCTCACAGTTTTCTAATTACCAGTAAAAGTTAGTTAAACATCCATCATTATAGTTGGAGTCCACAATCTTTCTATATACAAACTGCTGTGGAAAAGCAGCATGAATTCCCGCCCAAATGTAGCGGGTCAAATAGCTGAGTTCGTGTCAAAAAGGGTCCATCAACTAGGGTCAAGTATTGAGTGGAATAATGCATTAATTGTGGTCAACAGTTTTATTCACTTTAATAGCCTGCAAGGTGATGGCAACGGATGCATTAATTGTTGTAGCGATGTGTCTTTTCAAAACTTTAGTCATAAAGACAAAAACAGTAGCAAATTTGAAAAACGAAATGTAATTTGGATTTGATTTGTGAACTCAGTTCGCAGATTAAGTGATCTCAAAAGATTTGGCATTTAATGATTTGTACTCTCATATCTCCTTGAGCCACACAACATATTAAAATATATCTAAAAAGTACACTGATAATAAATGCTAAACAACAACGCAAGATTTTTTTGAACTTAGATATGCAAGTTGTCCCCATTAAATAAGTGGTGTATAACAAAACTAAGCTACTTCATTGGGCACTGTGGGCTGTCTAATCAAATTAAAAGACTGACATTATTGACCATTGAGCAGTTCAAATTTTTAGTATAAATAAGTCCAACCCAATCACACATCCAGAGCAACAAGCATGTCATTTGAAGTTTGACTGCATATCAGGAGTGGGATGCACAAGAAGTAATTTTTAACAATGAAGAGGTATACTGCTTCAAACTATTTTCAAAAATTATGCAAATGTGATTAACAATAACCAAAATGGGCAGGCCTGTTGAGAATATGGAAGTTGATAACCATGATGAAGGGGTATGCAATATGCCTTAAACTCATGAAAAACTTAATAATATGTGTGTTTTTAGTAATGTTCATCTAAATGTTTCCTTTTTTGATGCAGTCTTTTTAGCTAAATTAGTCTTTTTAAGTGTTTCTCAAACTCATAGATTCAATGTTAACAACGAAAAGTAAATATCAAAGGTAAAACTAAGAGCAGTTTGGTATATAATTTCACATACCCAGATTTTCAAAAGTAAAAGTTTTGAGTGAAGAAGATAGGGCATGTTTCTAAAAATAGAATAATGTATAGTTAACAATTTGATTTCTTATTACAAAAAATAAGAACATTTTTTTCAAACATGATATACTTGGCAGTTTATTTGAAAAATAACCTGCTTTTAATTGTATTTAAAAGCAAAAGGTAAGACTTGGAAGTTAAGGGGAGGATGAAGATCATACCTGAGAGTTCGGCAGCAATAATAGAACCTTGCAGTCCCTAATCTTAACTAATTGATAATGTATTACATTTCACTTCTGAATACTACACATTTGGGCACCTTATTCAAGATCCTCTGAGTTTACATTTTATAAAGAATGAAATTTTAACTCAAAAATATATTCAATTCTTCTAGAATAGACCTGCAATATAAAAGATAAAATCATGTTAAAATGCATCTTTAAGTCACACACATATTAACACTATATATTGTGTGTAAAGACCATTTAGTTTGTTGAAAACATTGTATAAAGTAAACCATAAAACTAGAGCATTGAACATTTCCATATAAGATCAAAATTAACATGATAGTTTTAATATAAAATGCAGTTCAATATGCAATTGATATTAGATATTTTCAATTTATAAAAAGTTATGAATGTGTGCTCAAATGCAAGAATCTATCTTTAAGCTGTGAACAGGTAGGACAAAACTAAGTTGGATTTAGGTAAAACCATGGCCAGCCTACTGATCAGTAAGTTAATAAATCAAATAAATTTTCTAGAAAAAAACTCATTTTAAAGGTCTCTTTCATCCAACCAAGGATCATAAGCAGGCCTTAATGAGCATTTTGAAATATACAATGATAATTATAGGTATAAATAAATTAAAACAAGATCATTGCTGATAGTAAACCCATAAAAGAAAGCACAATTGGAATATTTTTACTCACCAATGCTTTGATTAAAGGCATGCATATCGACTTGCTACCAACCAATGCTTATTGATCAACTATGCCTTTTTTACTACAGGAGTACATAATCTAGAAAGCATCTCTTAAAAGCATGCATGATTAAGTCTCTATCTGAAGAATTTATCTCCAAACAGGACTACAGGTTCCTACCCAGCACACTGCTGGACCAAGCAGATCTATAGTGATCACATGATGAAATCTGTTTGAAATAATAAGACACAAGAGATAAGAGATAAGAGATTGTGGTGTGTATTACATAAGGTTGAAGTATCAAAGAGTTACAAAATCACCCAAAAAAAACTGGGATTAAGTAGTTTTAAAATCTTCCACACCAAAGATGGCAGTTCGGTAAACAATCTACTTCCTGTCCTCTTATATTTCATTCCAAACAAAACTGAAGTTTTACTATTATGTTTAAGTAGTTTAAGATGTTCAATTTACAAGCTATTACTCTAATAGAGTAACTTATATTCCATTTTAAGTTTATTTATTTCAAGCAAAAAACTTTGGGATAGAAAAGGTGTAGCACTGCCTTTTTTAAAATAAAGTCTGCTATTGTGACCTTCTAAAATTATATATTAATAAATACTATGGACGAAGTCAGTTTTGAATTCAGGTATCACCAACCACTGTAATTAATTAAAAAAATCTTATAAGATGTATCCAAAATACAAAGTTTTGTTTTATCTAGGGGTTAAATCAAGACCACATATATCATAAAATGGATACTGGCTAAAAGTAAAGGTCAGTCTAGCACCCTCGCTCAGCCGTCACTCAGCTGAGATCCTTGCACCCTCACGAAGCTGTCTTCACTACATTTGACGAAAAGCAAGATTGGGCTAGAATAAACTAACTTTATAGTATAAAAAAATCAATAAATTGACTAAATCCTTTAAATAAAATGATTTACTAATTCATGCAATAGAAAATTGGTAAAATACAGTATGTAAGCATGTAAGTTTTACCGAAACGATGAAAGGAACAGTTAGGTCTGAGATCCTTTGAAGCTCATTCAGCCATCGTAGCCCTAACAATTGTCGAATAAGGCTTTATCGGACAAATGGACACTCACTATAGAGAAATGGGACGGTTGACTGTGGTGGTATGAGATTACAGACGACAAAAGAAGACATCCGAGAAGCAGGGTGAAGATGGGAGAAGATCGTCATAGAGGAGAGAACCGATGGTCTGCGATATTGGCCGCAGGGTAAATGAATATGCCGTTTCGGTTGTATAAATATGCGGTTTAGGTTTAGGTTGTTGGGCAGGAGTAAATTCATAGTATTGGGCTGGGTGTTGTCTAATTGGGCCAACAGCTATTTTTAAAATCAGGTCCGGGATTGGGCTGGGTAATATAGATGGTCCTAAATCTTAGGCTGTTAAAAATATTATTTTAATAAAATTAATAAATATTTCTTAATAATTGTTAATTATTAAATTTTTAAAAATATTTTATTGTTTGTAATTACCAATGTAACACATTTATTAATGTGGTTCACTTTCTTTTATTGGGGCATTGAATTTATCTAATTTTATATGTGTATTAAATTTGAATTTATATCTATATATTATGTAAATACTCCCTCCGTCCCAATTTGTAAGATACATTACATTTTACGATGTTTGACTGACGATAAAGCAAATTGATCCCTGTCAACACTCAAATTATTTTTAGAAAATAAAATTTACATATTCAGAAACTACATTAAAACTGCTACAAAACCTGCAAAAAATAATTCAAATTTCATAAACTTTTGATATATAAAATAAAATATTAAAAGTGATTTGTGTTGACCAAGTGAATAGTAAATGCATCATACAATTTGGGACTGAGGGAGTAAATAATTTTTTTAAATTAAAATTGATTGAATTAAATGAATTTCTCTTTCTTTGCTTTAATTCTGCAGAAAACATTGATTGTAGGGACGACCATCCTTCTCAACTGGTTGAAATCGGTTCCAGTTCTTCTAAATGTACAAGATGGATTGCAAAGGCAGGAGTCTCTAATATTTTAGTAGACAAGACAAATAGTTGATCATATTGATCATACTACTTATGTTGTTTACAAAGAAGTCTTTCAGAATTTGTATTTTCACCGTAAACACTTGCTATTTTACTTATCACTTTGTACTTTCAGATGTTAGTATCTCTTTAATTATATTTACATTTTATCTTCTTCGACAATGTTTTAAACTCTCTTTAACTATGAACACTTATTATGTTACTTACCACTTTATTCTAAGTTCAATTATCTCTACATTTTTTAATAGACATCTAAATCACACATTGATCAATTTTCTTCTGTGCATCGCACGGGCGAGAATCTAGTAGTTGTTCAAGGCTCAGATTTAAAGATGCATGTTGTCATGTTTTATCTACAAAGCTACCTGTCAGATCCATGTTCGTTGTTCAAGGCTCAGATTTAAAGATCCATGTTCGTTGAACTGGGTCAGAAAAGGGGGAATTTCATCATCATAGCCTCAAGTATCTGGAAGCAAATGATACATGTTAATGTCATTGAGAAATTAAAGAACATTTTTTACCGGTAAAATAGATCCAAACATGTTGTAAACTTAGTTTCATAAAAGATCATAGCAATAATAAAAGTAATTGATGTTACAAAATCCAAAAAGATATTACAACCTCTGATTTAGCAATTGTAGTTTCGATAAAGTAGTTTTGCTCTACAACTATGATTGAAATGTAATGAAAAAAAGTGGTCCTAAGACATGTATCCCTAATTGTGTTAATCAAAACATTGTTTTTTCACAAACAATATCACAACAATGATATTCTCAAAACCTACCAAAGAGGCAAATAGCAAACAAAGAATAGTGAGTTTATATGTAAGGACTATTTAGAAGAATGAGTCTAAAGTGATGTGATGAACTAATCAAGCATATATCGTAACATTTCTATGTACGAGCAATAATGGCCTGATTGGCTTCTTCCACAGCAGACTCCCTTTTGTGTGCATGGGAGATGTGAAAGACAATGTCAAATTTTGTTTGAAATTATTTAGACTACGAAAAAGTACAATTAATGTGATAGCTACAATTGTGTCGTTTATGAACATGCTTAAAACCTGGTTCCATAATGTTTATCATACGATATGAACATACATGCGGTTTAGGCATTTAATCTCCTTCCTTTTTTTTGTTTATGGGACAAATCAGAATCTGAAAACTGAAGATGAAAATCATACTAATGATGCATTTGTATTGATTGTACATTGATATAGAAAAGAAAAAAAAAATAATGGGTGCTTTCCGGCCCTTCCGGGTCATGTTTATAGCATCGCTTACAGTTTTTCACAATATAATAATATGACTGTATAGGAGAAATATAATGATTTCTCTAAAAAAAAATACTCTTTCCATTCATTAAGAAGATAGAAATAAATCAGAAAAAAAAAAAGAATACATGTGAGAATGAGTATATAACTGTCAGTTATAAGATCCCTGCCTACCTACTACTAGACCCTGCTGAGAAGCTACGCCTAGGCATCTGGTCTTCATCATCCACCTACAGTTTTTTTAGGGCTCCTCAAAACATTGCATTATCTCACTGTTTAAAAACTCTTTTCATATGCAGAGTTCATTCCATTTCCCAGAATTACTTCAACTTTAATGGGAATCTGTAGAGACGGTGAATCTGTGTCTTCGATTAACCCTGAATTAAACTTCACTCTGATATTCTTGTTTGCAAATCTTAACGGCTACATATCAATTGAGGTTGTTAACCGAGTTGTTTTACATACTTCATGCATTGAATTCTGTATGCTGAGCTAGGATTTTGATATGTTAGGACCAAAGGACATTCTAATCACAGTAAGAACTCCTAGGAGGTAATCTGGGGTGGAATGACCTGGTTTTGTAAATCAATACACTTCCCAAGCCAGCAGATGTGATAGATGTCACACAACCAAACGGTTAATCTGAGTAGCTACACTATTATATTGAATAACCAGGTACCTCTATTTCATTTCATTTGATTTTGGGGCTGTGAGAAAAACTTCTTTGCATTTTGTGCCACATCTGCCTCTATAATTGCTTCTAGCACAATGTCAGATCCCTTTGCTTCAGCTAGAGCAAGCAATTCAAGAAAAGGTGAACATTAACTACTGCCTCTATTTGATTTATTGTGAACAGTTTGATATATATATATATATATATATATATATATATATGTTAAAAGGGGTGCTGTTCGTTATGCAGCCTCATGCATAAAAAGTTGCTTGAAGCCAAAGATGTAGCTCATCATCAATAAAGCATCCCCCAAGGTATAGCTCTATCAGAGGGCAGGATGTACTGACTTAAGGTCATGCCCAGATTGAAGGGTAAGTTCATGCCACTGCCTAAACATTAAGGGAAAATTCATGCAACCTCCCTGAGCAACAACCCACAACTTAAATCCTCCTCCAATCCCAGTACATCAAAAGAGATGCACAATTCAGGCAAAAAAAAAAAAAACTACTATTTAATACGACATTAGAGTAGACAAGGTATGCTATCCCCCCATACCCTAGGAATCAGATGCCTCTCCACTAGCTACCCCTCCCCTACGAAAACCACCAACTCCTAAAAATAGAGAAAAGAAACAACAACAACAACAACAACAACAACAACAACAACATCCGAGACTTGGTCCCGAAAGGGTTTGGGGTCAGCTAACATGAAATTGGAACTAAAAGAGATGAAAAAGATAAAAAGATAAACAAAGATAAGATAAATACTCCCTCCGTCCCAAAAACAACTTCCCACTTTCCTTAAATGGATGTCCCAAAATTAACTTCACACTTCAATACTTTCCTTATTTGGCAAATTATCTACATCAAAAAAGTGATAAACAGTGCCAAACAGTGTTTAAACAGTGCCAAACAGTGTTTAAACAGTGCCAAACAGTGTTTAAACAGTGCAAAACTACAGTAAAGTTAAATTTATTTTCTAAAAGTGTGTGAAAGTCAAACCGGGAGGTTGTTTTCGGGACGGAGGGAGTATAAAAAAAGATAAGATAAAAATATAAAAAAGATAAAAATAGAAAATAATAGCAGCAACAACAGGATAAAAATATAAAAAAAGATAAAAATAGAAAATAATAGCAGCAACAACAGCATTACCCCAGTGACGCAAAGGCTCCCACCTACGGAGGGGTAAGGGGGTCAGATGTACACAGCCTAACCCCTGTGCTAAAGCAGGGGGAGACTGTTTCGAGATGACCCATGGTAAAAATAGAAAAAACCCAGCCTCTAGAACTAGTCCATATAAATAAGCAAACAAAACTAACTATGTCACTGAAAAAGTCAATTTAACAAAAGTACACCCGATTAATTTCATTGAGGTACAACTACTTGAAATAGCAAAATTCAGCTATGTTTTTAAAAATTATTTATTGCTTTATATAGATTTAACATTCTTAACTTGTTTGGGGATATAATAAAAGAATACATTCATTATAATAAAAAGGCTAAAGGGTCAAATAGGTACATGAACTGACTTAATGTGTTCAATTAGCCCCTTATATATGAGTTTCTGTCCGGACGTCGAAAATTGGGGCGGTTCCCGGTGCGAATTCTTTGATGATTTTTTTTTTAAAATCTTCTTCATTAAGTCTAGTTTACCCATGCCAAATTTCAGCTAAAAATTCAACCGGGAAGGCAGTCGAATGATTTTCCAAAATATTAAACAGCGCAATACATTTCGGAAAATCATTAGACTGCCTTCCCGGTTGAATTTTTAGCTGAAATTTGGCATGGGTAAACTAGACTTAATGTAGAAGATGCTCAAAAAAATTCATCAAAAAATTCCACCGGGAACCGCCCCAATTGGCGACGTCCAGGCAGAAACTCCTATATAAGGGGTTAATTGAACACTTTGGGTTAGTTCATGTACCTATTTGACCCTTTAGCCTAATAAAAATCAGCTTCTTTTGTGACAGCAAGATAAGTTTTCAAACAAACTAATATTTTTGGACAGAGAGGGCAGGAAAAAAGATGATATATACCTGTATGATCAGGCAATAGACCTGCACTTTTAGCAGAGACTGGAAGCACAAGATTACCAGACTTATCAGGAACCTCATTCAGAGCTTCGCAGTTTTCATACTTGGGTTTTGATAATGTGATTTCAGCAAGTTTTGCATATGCTGTTGCTTGACTGTTCATATCAGAAGAGGTTGAGGGCTTAAAGTTACAATCCTGCAAGTACAGCTACATCAATCCTTTAATTGGAAAATGATATGAAAAATTGGTACTCCAAGTGAATATATAGAGATGGCAAGTACCTTGGGTGTATTACTGATAGTTGTGCCCTTACTTTCAGACTTTTCAGGTCCATTTTCCATCGATGTACCAGCACCAGCAGTGGGTGGGTGGTTTTTTATGTTATCAACTAGCCTTGTGGTTAATGGACCCGGATTCACAAAAGAAATGGTTCGGATTTCATGTCGTATGGCTTCTAATTGAGCAATTGTATCTTGTAGCTCTTTGTGGACCTTTAAGATAAATGCCAGAGAAAAGATCATTGCCGCCATACACAAGTATGCCCGGTATGAGAAAAAGATACTGGAGTATACATCTATATCAAATGATGATTACTATATACTACATATAAGTTAAAAGAAGAGTAAAAACCTACAGAAATAGGTGAAGGAAGATAAAAAGAAACCTGTCGAGCTTGAGTTTGCTGCATGACACTCTCAAATTGACCACGGGCCATTTGAACATAGCCAATAGCACGGCCAGATAACCTCCCAGCAGTTCTTGCTATGACTGGAAGGTCCTTAGGTCCTGACAAATCAAAACCCTGCCTCAGCATATATAACTCAACACATGAAGGATATAATCAATCTCATACTGAGAAGCAAGTTTTGGGAATAGGAAACAGGATTATCAGAACTATAGTGAAAAACCGGGTGAATCGAAGACAGTTTACACCGCCATTACAGAGGAAGAGTACCAATTAAAGCCGCAGTAGCTCCAAGCAATAAAAACAACTCTCCATATGAAAACCCTAGCATGTCTTTATGTCTCTAGTTTGAACAAAGAATTAATGGGAGCTGGAGTCAATAGATCTCGCCGTTCGTTGCTGAGGAAGCCGGAGTGTCTAGAACTCTAGACCTGAGAAGGAATACAATACAAAAGAAGCAATTAAACATTAGAAGGAATAATTTTATATGGGAAAAAATCACATTACAAGGAATAATATTATGTGACAAAAACAACAACCAAGCTTTATTCCCAAAAGAGAATCATTTCATGTGAAATTAATTTATATTTTTTCCAGCAAAAAATTAAAAAGAAGATTTACCCTCAACGATGTTAACTATTCAAGCATAGGCAAACAGGTAAGAATCCACAGTGCAAGCGCAGGAAATTATTTTGCTTTCAAATTTTAAAGCATAGAATGACTTTATACTAAGTGTAATATGAAGTTCAAAAAATTACACGAAGAGGAACAAAAGCAAGTATCTAAAGTCTCCAGTTCAAAAATCGAATCTTAACCAACTTTGAGCTTCCTGTCTTTCCAATGGTATCTCCATAAACAAACAGAAATGCAATTTACAATGTGCAATTAGGTGTCTGCTCAATCTTGAGCAGCATTATTAGTATCATAAAGAAGTTTACAACCACAAGCTTGCCAAATTAATGCAAATGGTATCTTAGGAATTTGATGTGCAACTTAGAATAGGGATTTGAGGTAAATAAGTTGGGCCATGAGTCCATGACTAGTGGCTGATCTATTGCCCCTATTCTGCGTGCATGAAATCATTTTAAATTGAAATGAAGAACAATACATCTATCTTTATCTAAAAGCAAAAGAAATTCAACGCACAGTACTCCCGCCCAATTGTGTCAACGTCAGTTATTAATGTTTTAATTGGTCAAGAATTATAACAGAGGATATGCATTGTAAAGGATGGGTCCGGGCCACACTTTAAATTTTGAGGAAAGTATTCCTATTGGCTGTAGCTGACGGTGGGTATAGTAAGAACAAAAATTAATGAGGCCTCCTATTGGTCGAAGAGGTGGTGGTTACTGTTGCCAAAATTTGTGACATGATGCTTCCTTGCTTTCCATTGGTTGATGAGGGTGGTGTGAACAAGTGAGGGGATGGTACCTGCAACAAGTGGTACACAAACGTTCAAAGCGATCAAAGCTCTCATCTTCCTATGATTCAAGTCGAAGGTAAAAAAGAACCACATCCCCTCTTCCATTTAACGAAGCGATCAAAGCTCTCATCTTTGCATCCATGGAGGAAACAGAGACTCATAAAGCTATGCTCACAACAGAAAATTGGAAGAAAGAACAAATCTTCAACTCAAACAAAGTGCCACCCTTCCCCGCCCAGCATCCCTCTTTCGGTGTGGTTAAAGCAAATGAATCATCATTGAACACCAGCCCCACAAACTATATTGACACATTCTCAGAATTGGTTGAATCCCTTAATTTCAGAGCCTAGGGATTCTTCGTTTCAAACATTATTGGCATTATTATAATCAAATCAGAAGACAATGAACCAGAAATTGAACACATTTGCATCACTTCATTGTCTAGTTCCAATCCAACACAGTCCCTTCCTATTTCCTATGGGAATCCCAAAGCCAAGCCAAGTTATTAATCAAAACAGACATCCAGTCCTGGGCTTCTTTTAGTATTAGATCAATGCTGAGAAAATGATAGCAGCCGAACTCTCTGCTAAAGGTACATCAAAATATATAATTCCTCTAGAAATTTCTTAAAAGAGAAACTGATTGAGAAATAAAAAACAAAGTATTTCACATTCTAAACTTCTATTTTGTATGCACAAAATAAACATATAATTTCGAATGCAATGAATGAATAATAGTAGAAACTTTGAATGAAGCCATCAGTCACCAATGATTCTCCACATAAGCTTAAAGCTAATAATACGGTCCGCATCATGGTTCGATCTAAGAGATCGCATCACGCGGCTTGTCAATTTCAGCTAAAACTAAAGCAAAAAAGGCAGAATAAAATCAACAAAAGAAGAGCTCAGAGAATAGTATGGGTATGAGACAATTATCATCACTCTCTCCGAAGGAGGTCAGAGTGGTGCATGACAATCTCTGTATTTCATCATCGCTCTTCTTCGTCTAGTGAATACTCATTAATAATTACTACGTAATAATCAAACCTAATTTTAAAAAAATGAAAAATAGGGAGAAATGGATAATAAATAACGCTCAGAGATAATTTCCGCTATGATGATTAGGAATAGGTGAATGCTCAGAGAAGACTGCACATGATATATAGGAGCGGAAATTAGGTTTCACCCAAACTCTAATCTTTGTGGAAATTTGAATAGATACAGGCCCGGGTTGAACAAAGGGGCCATACAGATCCTGGTCTTCTGGCCCGGTTGGTTCATTTAAATTCAACCCGACAAGGTGTAGATGTAGAATGAGTGGCAATTCCGTCAGGTCGGCCTGAAACCGCCGTCCGGCAGAGGGCTTTTGGGGCCCTCCCCGGTGGAATACATATATATACACACACACACACACACACACACATAGAGGAATGATCCTGTCCAGCCGGAGGGACAGGATCCTCCGTCCAGCCGCCACCGTTTGGGGCGGTTTCCGGTGGAGTTTTTTGATGAAATTTTCATGGAATGATCCTCATCAAGTCTAGTTTATCCACAAAAAATTTCAGCTAGAAATTTGATCGGGAAGGCAATCAAATAATTTGTTGAAGATAACTGCTCCAAATTAAACATATAAAACGCATTTATGTTTCAAAAAATTATTTCACTGCCTTCCCGATCGAATTTTTAGCTGATTTTTTTGTAGATTAACTAGACTTGATCGGGAACATTCCATAAAAATTTCATCAAAAAACTCTACCGGGAACCACCCCAAACGGCAGCGGCCGGACGGAGGATCCTGTGTCTCCGACTGGACAGGATCTTTTCTGTATATATATATATATATATATATATATACATACTAGTTGGCACGCGCGTTGCGCGACGGGTGGTGCCCAATGCTGGGGGAAAATGTGTTGCATTGTTAGGGAAATCAAAAATAGGGTGAAACTTAGAGGAACAAAAAACAATGTCTAAAATTTGATAGATTTGTTAGGGATATTTGAGAAAAACCATTTAAACCATTTATTCATATAATGTAAAAACAAAGAAACCCAAACATATATAAGATCTAATACAAACATATGCGAAATCAAACATAAGAAATAAACTGTCATTAGAACTTTTCCTTTCCGCTAGCATTCCCTGAAACTTTTCCTTCTTGAGTACTCTTTGAGCTAATTATGGGTATTTTATGGTACCTATAAATGTTTGGTGCATGTTTTCCATTATCTTCCTTCATGAGATTACTTCCAAGTTCCAAGTCATGGAATTAATGGGGTGGAAAACTCATACTCAATCTATTCACTTCTGAAAGTCTACAACCTATAAGGAGTCAAAATTTTGTTCATTGACCTACCTTTGGTAATGAATGAAAACTGTTGCTTGGGAATAAAAAAACCTAAAAAGCATACACATTGTTTCAGAATGTTTTTTCAAGAAAAGAAGCCATTCTACATACGGAAAAAAACCTAGAAAAGCATACACCTATTTCAAAAATCATAAAAGCAAAACGGAAAACCAGCTGTTTACAGTTTATATAGTTCAATTGGGTGTTTATTATGCTTACCCAATTATAGTTATCAAGACAGCACTCTTCTTCGCAAACAAACACCCATTCCGCAACCTTATCCAATATTCTTTTCTTTTCAGGGCCTCTTTTTTACATCACATAGGGTGATGTCAGGGGACTGACATAAATGCAGCTTGACTTGTTTTACAAATTAGTAAGAAATTTGGCTCAGAATATATAGAATACTCACAGATCCAGTGTGGAATGATATTCAAACAATACCCTCACGGTCATCATAAACCTCGACAAACAAAGTGCTATATTGTAACATCTAACAAAGAAATGTAAATACCTGATTTATGCCTCAGTCTTGAATGTTGGCAACTTTTTTTATGCCACATAGCCCCCTCTTGATGTCCTCAGGAGTGGACCACCACGTTTATGAAGTGCACTGTATACACGAAAATAAGACCTACTTAACTCCTTCCACACTTTATATATATGGTAGATTTCTATATGGAAAACTTAGTGAACTCAAATTAGGGAGCAAGGGACACTTTACCTAATAGCAGATATACACATATCAGAATGTTTTGCAGCTTCTAATTTCATTTTGGAGTCGAATGACAGCCAACCATTTTAGTTCATAGGCCGAATGGCCCACATCTCTAACAACCTAACAACATCATGACCCCAAAACAAAAATAAAGAATTATGGGAAACTCAACACTTCTCTTACTTTTAAAATACGTAAGACTTTTTCAAAAAAGTTTATTTTGTATATTTTTTATAGAAATATATTAAACCTTTGAAAGAACAAAAAACTTTTTTTCATTCAAATTATTTATACCAAATTAACCCAAGAATTAGATGTGAGATGTAATAGCAAATTAATTTAAGAATTTGAAACTAAAATACCTAAAATATCAGATTCAAACCTAAATTAGTCTAACAATCAAAATAGTGATGTCAAATTAACAACATGATTCTGGAAAAATTGATTTTTTTTTACCAATGAAACCTCAATGTATTAATACTTGGGTAGTTTATTTTTTTTGACCATGAAAAGTTTATGTAAAAATGATCACACGATGGTTAACTAAATACAAATTGATAAATTCTCACAGTTTTCTAATTACCAGTAAAAGTTAGTTAAACATCCATCATTATAGTTGGAGTCCACAATCTTTCTATATACAAACTGCTGTGGAAAAGCAGCATGAATTCCCGCCCAAATGTAGCGGGTCAAATAGCTGAGTTCGTGTCAAAAAGGGTCCATCAACTAGGGTCAAGTATTGAGTGGAATAATGCATTAATTGTGGTCAACAGTTTTATTCACTTTAATAGCCTGCAAGGTGATGGCAACGGATGCATTAATTGTTGTAGCGATGTGTCTTTTCAAAACTTTATAGTCATAAAGACAAAAACAGTAGCAAATTTGAAAAACGAAATGTAATTTGGATTTGATTTGTGAACTCAGTTCGCAGATTAAGTGATCTCAAAAGATTTGGCATTTAATGATTTGTACTCTCATATCTCCTTGAGCCACACAACATATTAAAATATATCTAAAAAGTACACTGATAATAAATGCTAAACAACAACGCAAGATTTTTTTGAACTGAGATATGCAAGTTGTCCCCATTAAATAAGTGGTGTATAACAAAACTAAGCTACTTCATTGGGCACTGTGGGCTGTCTAATCAAATTAAAAGACTGAACATTATTGACCATTGAGCAGTTCAAATTTTTAGTATAAATAAGTCCAACCCAATCACACATCCAGAGCAACAAGCATGTCATTTGAAGTTTGACTGCATATCAGGAGTGGGATGCACAAGAAGTAATTTTCAACAATGAAGAGGTATACTGCTTCAAACTTTTTTCAAAAATTATGCAAATGTGATTAGCAATAACCAAAATGGGCAGGCCTGTTGAGAATATGGAAGTTGATAACCATGATGAAGGGGTATGCAATATGCCTTAAACTCATGAAAAACTTAATAATATGTGTGTTTTTAGTAATGTTCATCTAAATGTTTAGCTAAATTAGTCTTTTTAAGTGTTTCTCAAACTCATAGATTCAATGTTAACAACGAAAGGTAAATATCAAAGGTAAAACTAAGAGCAGTTTGGTATATAATTTCACATACCCAGATTTTCAAAAGTAAAAGTTTTGAGTGAAGAAGATAGGGCATGTTTCTAAAAATAGAATAATGTATAGTTAACAATTTGATTTCTTATTACAAAAAATAAGAACATTTTTTTCAAACATTATATACTTGGCAGTTTATTTGAAAAATAACCTGCTTTTAATTGTATTTAAAAGCAAAAGGTAAGACTTGGAAGTTAAGGGGAGGATGAAGATCATACCTGAGAGTTCGGCAGCAATAATAGAACCTTGCAGTCCCTAATCTTAACTAATTGATAATGTATTACATTTCACTTCTGAATACTACACATTTGGGCACCTTATTCAAGATCCTCTGAGTTTACATTTTATAAAGAATGAAATTTTAACTCAAAAATATATTCAATTCTTCTAGAATAGACCTGCAATATAAAAGATAAAATCATGTTAAAATGCATCTTTAAGTCACACACATATTAACACTATATATTGTGTGTAAAGACCATTTAGTTTGTTGAAAACATTGTATAAAGTAAACTATAAAACTAGAGCATTGAACATTTCCATATAAGATCAAAATTAACATGATAGTTTTAATATAAAATGCAGTTCAATATGCAATTGATATTAGATATTTTCAATTTATAAAAAGTTATGAATGTGTGCTCAAATGCAAGAATCTATCTTCAAGCTGTGAACAGGTAGGACAAAACTAAGTTGGATTTAGGTAAAACCATGGCCAGCCTACTAATCAGTAAGTTAATAAATCAAATAAATTTTCTAGAAAAAAACTCATTTTAAAGGTCTCTTTCATCCAACCAAGGATCATAAGCAGGCCTTAATGAGCATTTTGAAATATACAATGATAATAATTATAGGTATAAATAAATTAAAACAAGATCATTGCTGATAGTAAACCCATAAAAGAAAGCACAATTGGAATATTTTTACTCACCAATGCTTTGATTAAAGGCATGCATATCGACTTGCTACCAACCAATGCTTATTGATCAACTATGCCTTTTTTACTACAGGAGTACATAATCTAGAAAGCATCTCTTAAAAGCATGCATGATTAAGTCTCTATCTGAAGAATTTATCTCCAAACAGGACTACAGGTTCCTACCCAGCACACTGCTGGACCAAGCAGATCTATAGTGATCACATGATGAAATCTGTTTGAAATAATAAGACATGAGAGATAAGAGATAAGAGATTGTGGTGTGTATTACATAAGGTTGAAGTATCAAAGAGTTACAAAATCACCCAAAAAAAACTGGGATTAAGTAGTTTTAAAATCTTCCACACCAAAGATGGCAGTTCGGTAAACAATCTACTTCCTGTCCTCTTATATTTCATTCCAAACAAAACTGAAGTTTTACTATTATGTTTAAGTAGTTTAAGATGTTCAATTTACAAGCTATTACTCTAATAGAGTAACTTATATTCCATTTTAAGTTTATTTATTTCAAGCAAAAAACTTTGGGATAGAAAAGGTGTAGCACTGCCTTTTTTAAAATAAAGTCTGCTATTGTGACCTTCTAAAATTATATATTAATAAATACTATGGACGAAGTCAGTTTTGAATTCAGGTATCACCAACCACTGTAATTAATTAAAAAAATCTTATAAGATGTATCCAAAATACAAAGTTTTGTTTTATCTAGGGGTTAAATCAAGACCACATATATCATAAAATGGATACTGGCTAAAAGTAAAGGTCAGTCTAGCACCCTCGCTCAGCCGTCACTCAGCTGAGATCCTTGCACCCTCACGAAGCTGTCTTCACTACATTTGACGAAAAGCAAGATTGGACAAGAATAAACTAACTTTATAGTATAAAAAAATCAATAAATTGACTAAATCCTTTAAATAAAATGATTTACTAATTCATGCAATAGAAAATTGGTAAAATACAGTATGTAAGCATGTAAGTTTTACCGAAACGATGAAAGGAACAGTTAGGTCTGAGATCCTTTGAAGCTCATTCAGCCATCGTAGCCCTAACAATTGTCGAATAAGGCTTTATCGGACAAATGGACACTCACTATAGAGAAATGGGACGGTTGACTGTGGTGGTATGAGATTACAGACGACAAAAGAAGACATCCGAGAAGCAGGGTGAAGATGGGAGAAGATCGTCATAGAGGAGAGAACCGATGGTCTGCGATATTGGCCGCAGGGTAAATGAATATGCCGTTTCGGTTGTATAAATATGCGGTTTAGGTTTAGGTTGTTGGGCAGGAGTAAATTCATAGTATTGGGCTGGGTGTTGTCTAATTGGGCCAACAGCTATTTTTAAAATCAGGTCCGGGATTGGGCTGGGTAATATAGATGGTCCTAAATCTTAGGCTGTTAAAAATATTATTTTAATAAAATTAATAAATATTTCTTAATAATTGTTAATTATTAAATTTTTAAAAATATTTTATTGTTTGTAATTACCAATGTAACACATTTATTAATGTGGTTCACTTTCTTTTATTGGGGCATTGAATTTATCTAATTTTATATGTGTATTAAATTTGAATTTATATCTATATATTATGTAAATACTCCCTCCGTCCCAATTTGTAAGATACATTACATTTTACGATGTTTGACTGACGATAAAGCAAATTGATCCCTGTCAACACTCAAATTATTTTTAGAAAATAAAATTTACATATTCAGAAACTACATTAAAACTGCTACAAAACCTGCAAAAAATAATTCAAATTTCATAAACTTTTGATATATAAAATAAAATATTAAAAGTGATTTGTGTTGACCAAGTGAATAGTAAATGCATCATACAATTTGGGACTGAGGGAGTAAATAATTTTTTTAAATTAAAATTGATTGAATTAAATGAATTTCTCTTTCTTTGCTTTAATTCTGCAGAAAACATTGATTGTAGGGACGACCATCCTTCTCAACTGGTTGAAATCGGTTCCAGTTCTTCTAAATGTACAAGATGGATTGCAAAGGCAGGAGTCTCTAATATTTTAGTAGACAAGACAAATAGTTGATCATATTGATCATACTACTTATGTTGTTTACAAAGAAGTCTTTCAGAATTTGTATTTTCACCGTAAACACTTGCTATTTTACTTATCACTTTGTACTTTCAGATGTTAGTATCTCTTTAATTATATTTACATTTTATCTTCTTCGACAATGTTTTAAACTCTCTTTAACTATGAACACTTATTATGTTACTTACCACTTTATTCTAAGTTCAATTATCTCTACATTTTTTAATAGACATCTAAATCACACATTGATCAATTTTCTTCTGTGCATCGCACGGGCGAGAATCTAGTAGTTGTTCAAGGCTCAGATTTAAAGATGCATGTTGTCATGTTTTATCTACAAAGCTACCTGTCAGATCCATGTTCGTTGTTCAAGGCTCAGATTTAAAGATCCATGTTCGTTGAACTGGGTCAGAAAAGGGGGAATTTCATCATCATAGCCTCAAGTATCTGGAAGCAAATGATACATGTTAATGTCATTGAGAAATTAAAGAACATTTTTTACCGGTAAAATAGATCCAAACATGTTGTAAACTTAGTTTCATAAAAGATCATAGCAATAATAAAAGTAATTGATGTTACAAAATCCAAAAAGATATTACAACCTCTGATTTAGCAATTGTAGTTTCGATAAAGTAGTTTTGCTCTACAACTATGATTGAAATGTAATGAAAAAAAGTGGTCCTAAGACATGTATCCCTAATTGTGTTAATCAAAACATTGTTTTTTCACAAACAATATCACAACAATGATATTCTCAAAACCTACCAAAGAGGCAAATAGCAAACAAAGAATAGTGAGTTTATATGTAAGGACTATTTAGAAGAATGAGTCTAAAGTGATGTGATGAACTAATCAAGCATATATCGTAACATTTCTATGTACGAGCAATAATGGCCTGATTGGCTTCTTCCACAGCAGACTCCCTTTTGTGTGCATGGGAGATGTGAAAGACAATGTCAAATTTTGTTTGAAATTATTTAGACTACGAAAAAGTACAATTAATGTGATAGCTACAATTGTGTCGTTTATGAACATGCTTAAAACCTGGTTCCATAATGTTTATCATACGATATGAACATACATGCGGTTTAGACATTTAATCTCCTTCCTTTTTTTTGTTATGGGACAAATCAGAATCTGAAAACTGAAGATGAAAATCATACTAATGATGCATTTGTATTGATTGTACATTGATATGGAAAAGAAAAAAAAAATAATGGGTGCTTTCCGGCCCTTCCGGGTCATGTTTATAGCATCGCTTACAGTTTTTCACAATATAATATGACTGTATTGGAGAAATATAATGATTTCTCTAAAAAAAAATACTCTTTCCATTCATTAAGAAGATAGAAATAAATCAGAAAAAAAAAAAAGAATACATGTGAGAATGAGTAAATAACTGTCAGTTATAAGATCCCTGCCTACCTACTACTAGACCCTGCTGAGAAGCTACACCTAGGCATCTGGTCTTCATCATCCACCTACAGTTTTTTTAGGGCTCCTCAAAACATTGCATTATCTCACTGTTTAAAAACTCTTTTCATATGCAGAGTTCATTCCATTCCCCAGAGTTACTTCAACTTTAATGGGAATCTGTAGAGACGGTGAATCTGTGTCTTCAATTAACCCTGAATTTAACTTCACTCTGATATTCTTGTTTGCAAATCTTAACGGCTACATATCAATTGAGGTTGTTAACCGAGTTGTTTTACATACTTCATGCATTGAATTCTGTATGCTGAGCTAGGATTTTGATATGTTAGGACCAAAGGACATTCTAATCACAGTAAGAACTCCTAGGAGGTAATCTGGGGTGGAATGACCTGGTTTTGTAAATCAATACACTTCCCAAGCCAGCAGATGTGATAGATGTCACACAACCAAACGGTTAATCTGAGTAGCTACACTATTATATTGAATAACCAGGTACCTCTATTTCATTTCATTTGATTTTGGGGCTGTGAGAAAAACTTCTTTGCATTTTGTGCCACATCTGCCTCTATAATAGCTTCTAGCACAATGTCAGATCCCTTTGCTTCAGCTAGAGCAAGCAATTCAAGAAAAGGTGAACATTAACTACTGCCTCTATTTGATTTATTGTGAACAGTTTGATGATGAGGCATGTAAATATATATATATATATATATATAGGTTTTGGTTCAAATGAGAAAACCATCTTAGGAGAGAAATGAGAACAAATGACAACCATCCGATCTTGATGCTTTTAGTTATTTCGGCTCTTTCTCATCAAGGGTAAAATTGATATTTTCAAATCTTACCAAATTGCACGATTCTCTCCATAACCATCATTCAATATTTCTCTTTCTTAGAACACGTGTTATCTCCATAACCTCTCTTAGTTATTCATCCCTACGTTTACTCATCATATTGTCTTTCTAGTTTCTTTATTTTCTCAATAGACATTCTAATCAATTTATTATTTATTTGCTCGGTGAATCACAATCAAATTGTTTAGTATCTGTCTTGAGTTCATTTATCATGATTTTGTTCTCTTTTGTTTATCTATAAATTATTCCTTTAGATGACATTAGTTAGATGCTCGTCTTTCTCCTTGTTACTCTTTTCTTATTCCCGACGTTTTTTCTCTAGGTGTTTAATTAACTGCACATTGGATGACAGTAGCAAGAGGGACTAATTGTTTTTATTGCACTTAGCTTTGTGTGATATTGCACAAAATTGTCTTTATGTGAATAACTCCTTTTCATTTTCTTTCTAAAAATACTCTTTTGCATATTCGATTCAGACTAAATGAAATTGATTTAAATACTTCTATTAATTGAGGCCTTCTTAAATTTTTTATTAAACTTTTGACTGGTGCACTTATTAGTTTCGTTCATGCACTTTTCATTAGTTTTTTTTGTTTTATTTAGCAAATTATGATGTTTTCATTTCAATTTAATAAAAAATGTCAATGCAAAATTTTATAAGTGTGAAATACTAATGCACTTTTATATATATTTAAATGCACATGATAAAAGTGCATTTTATTTTGTATAAGAGTGCTACTCTAGAATTTTAGAAAGTATGAAATAATATTGCACGTTTGTATTATTATAAATGCACGTTATGGTTGATAATTATGCCCTTGTACATTTCTATTCATTTTAATTTAAATCATATATGGACAGGGCCGGCCCAGGCCAAGTGCTGGCAGTGCGACCGCACAGGGCCCGTGAATTTTAAGGGCCCAAATTTCAATAGTCCGCCTATTATTATCAACTAACAGAGCCCAATAACATAAGATAGATCCTTCATTGAAAAAGAAAACGCCTGGTGGTTTCGAACCTTGACAAATTTGTTACACAAAGGAATGCTGAACCAATCAACCAACTCAACCATCTGGTGGATGCGTGCTTCCGTCCAATTTGCTTTTGTATACCATTCAACTATTGATATACTCCAACTAAAATTAATGATATTAATTTGTAATCATAATAATAACTATTTTTATTGCATGCCATTATTAAATTTAAAAACTATTACATATGTATGAAATATTCTTTACATCTATCAATTATATTTATATTTTTTATATATATTTTCTTTGACAAATTATCCATTTAATTCCAAAGAGTCAAACACTTCTTCAATTTATGAGTTATATTTAAGATAATGATACACTAATTTTCAATTTAATCTGCTTGTAACCATTATTAAATTTTGAATGAGAGTTATAATATCTTCTATTTCTCAATATGGAGTAATAATCTTATTTCTTATATTTTGTAGTTCTTATATTATTCTTTTTTGGGTTTTAATTTTGAGTTTGAATGATTTAGTACATACTGTAGATAATTATATTTGGATGGTTTGTAATAATTGAACTTGGCAAATTACCATGTTCAGGTATTAGATTATTAGTCTATTAATTTATAATTTAATTTAACAAATAAATGAAGATTATTTTGTTAAGGAGTACTTTTATTTTAACTATTATGTTAGTGAATAACTTGTAATTTGATATAAATTATTACTGTAACAAAGTATTACCAATACAATCTTCACTTGTATATATTTTTTACCT